CTGTGGTCCATTGATACCACGGAACACTACTCAGCAATATAAACGAATGGACTATGGATACATGCAACAACCTGGATGAATTTGCAAAGAATATGCTGAGTAAAGAAAGCTAATCTCAAAAGGCTATATACGGCTATCATTCCATTTGTATAACATACTTGAAATAACAAAACTATCAGTTGCTAGGGGTTAAGAAGGGGATGGGAGTAGGAAGGAAGGAAGTGCGCTCTCAGGACAACAGGAGGGATTCTTGCAGTGACGGAAATGTTTACATTTTCACTAATGTTAATGTCTTGATTGTACTAAATTGTACTATAGTTTTGCAAGATGTTACACAGAAGGGACTTCCCTGGTGGCACAGTGGTTAAGAATCCGCCTGCCAATGCAGGGGACACGGGTTCGAGCCCTGATCTGGGAAGATCCCACATGCCACGGAGCAACTAAGCGCCTGCGCCACAACTACTGAGCCTGTGCTCTAGAGCCCGCAAGCCACAATTACTGAGCTCATGCACCACAACTACTGAAGCCCATGCACCTACAGCCCGGGCTCTGTAACAAGGGAAGCCATTGCAATGAGAAGCCCGTGCACCTCAACAAAGAGTAGCCCGGCTCGCCACAACTAGAGAAAGCCCGTGGGCAGCAATGAAGACCCAATGCAGCCAAAATTTTAAAAAAGGATGTTACCACAGGGAGAAACTGAGTAAAGAATTCAGGGAATCTCTGTATTATTTCTTAAAAGTGCATGGAAATCTACAAATGTCTCAAAAGTTTCATTAAAAAAAAAAATCTTTGTTAGCTGCCTCTCAAGAGTACTGAACTTAACCTCAATGGGTCTGGCTTCTGGTTTAGCAGTGCTAGAAACTTTGACCTTGCAAATAGTTACTTAACTTCTCTGGTCCTCAATTTTCATGTCTGAAAAAAAGAGGCTGGACTTGATGATTGCCATCTCTAAATTTACACAATTCTTAGAAAAAGAATATGGAACAGGAAATATAATAAATGATTGCTGAATAGAGAAGTAGAGGTAGTGTTTTCAATGATCTTTCTGTGATGGCAAAATTTTCTATAATAAATATATAAATCTTTCATAATTGGGAAAAAATAAGATTTTGCAATCCAAAAATATTTCTGATTTTAGTCAAAATGCAAAGTAGTTTAGAATTCATCAACCTCCATTTGCTTGAACTCATGTTTTAAGCTTCATATAGACTGTATATTTTGTAGAAGTTAAATTAATTAATGAGCAAATAATTAACAAACACCTTTTGTGAATTTTATCTTATAAATCAGAAAGGTTAAATAAAGGGCTGTTCAGCTGCCTTGAAGTAGGCCTGAAGACAAACCTATATCGCCCTGAAGTGTGGAAAAGGGGTTCCAAGTCAGTTAAATGTTAAATATATTTCTCTTCTGGACAGTGGAGGTGCTTAGTCAACATCCAGTATATATGACCAGGAGTAGTTTTGCTTTTCTGAAAGAACAATGGGTTAGGCTTAAAGTAACAGAATTTATACACCAGATGCAGGATACCTATGACAGGATTTCTACTAATCTTCACAGAAAGTCCCAATTCTGTCTCTCCACTTTCCAAACAACTCTCTTCACCTTGTTAGTCTGGGACTCTAAAACTAGTACGGCCGCTGCACCATGTGTATGTGCACCATCACATTCAGAGATGCAGCCTGCCTTGTCCATACTAATCTTAGGTGAGGCTAACTTTTCCTCTTAGCTTCATCTAAGGCACAACTGACACAAAGGAAAGCAACCAGAGTCTGGGTGCTCCACATGCTAGGCTAGCCTCAACACATATGGCCAGATTTTAATTAAAATTAGAATAGAAATTTTGCTTTTTTTACATTTTCAGTAGAAGTTATTTTTTAAAAGAAAAAAACTTTAATGTTTAGTACTTTGTGAGGGTTCTTTTTCTTTTCTTTTTTAAAAAATTTATTTTATTTATTTATTTTTGGCTGCATTGGGTCTTCGTTGCTGCGTGCGGGCTTTCTCTAGTTGCGGAGAGCGGGGGCTACTCTTCATTGAGGTGCATGGCCTTCTCATTGTGGTGGCTTCTCTTGTTGCAGAGCACGGGCTCTAGGGTGCACGGGCTTCAGTAGTTGCAACACGTGGGCTCAGTAGTTGTGGCCTAGTTGCTCTGTGGCATGTGGGATCTTCCCGGACCAGGGCTCGAACCCACGTCCCCTGCACTGGCAGGTGGACTCTTAACCACTGTGCCACCAGGGAAGCCCATGAGGGTTCTTTTTAATATCTAATAATAATTAATGAAGACAGAGCTTCATACTGAGACAAGGTTGGAAGTGATGAGGGAAACAAGGAAGATTATATTGAAGAATGTTAACTTTCTACCCAGAAAGGTGATCTATATGATTCTTAAGCAAGTTCTAAAACTCTTTAGCACAATGACATGTCCTCATTTACAGTAATTTCCTCTTAGTCCTGCATTCCTTCCTCTCCCTGGACTCCCCATCTCAGTTATACAGCATTCTACAACTATCTGTTTTACAAAAGAAGGGTCTACATTAAGAGACTGACATCTTGGTTCCCTAGTTGGAGATGGGTATCACTCAGATTCCACAAAGGGCAGCCAACAAAATAATCTAGATTAAAGCTAGCGAATTTTAAATTCAACTTATTACTAAGGTCAACATCAGTCTTATAAAACTAACCTCTGAAGGGAGCAGAAGAGCATTGCAAAAAGCTCCAATTAGCAGTATATCTATCTCAGAACTGTTTCTGCCTGTGGGACACACTCATAATGCAAGGTGGCAATTACCCTCAAGTGGGTAGCCTAACTAAGAATCTACCTCAAACAATATGGGTCTTCATTAATTAGTTATTAATTTTCTAAATACTTCTTGAAATTATTTGCTTTTTACCTGAACAATTTCTTGAAGCCTAAAGACCAAACTGCAGCCTAAGAAACTTGGTACTGTTTTTAAGCCCCACTGATAATATATGCTTCTGTTCCCTTCCACTGTTTCCTGTTTGAAAACGAAAGTCCTAATGTAAAAATTTGGTAAAAATGAGTTAGGGTTAACAGGGCCATTAATTAATGACTTAGGTGATTAATCTCTTTATAATCTTAAAGAGATGGAAAATGGGCCTCTACCAATGATCTACACAGCCAGCACTCACCGAGAGATCACTGCTACTGACTCGCTGGGGGAAACAGCACTGCATGAGGAGCACTCTGAGTCTCCTGGGGGTGAAAAGCAGAGAAGTCCCAGCTAGGAGAGGCTGCCACACAAAGTCACCAAGCCCAGGCAGCTCTTCCTTGGACATCTTGGCTCAGCCTTCTTACAGAGCCACAAGCACCCGCTGCTGCCTTGCATGGCCTCCCCAAAGCTCGACAGCAGCAGGGAGAAGGCAAGAATCGGGGGATGGGGGACTAGAGAGCAAGTCCCCCAAAAGCCACTACCACCCTTAGACCCCCAAGGCGAATGATGAATGTAGGTGACAAAGTGAGTTAAGGATCTGGTACATAATTGTTAGTCCCCTCCCCTAGCAGTGGTGACCCATGCCCAGTTGGAGGTAAGAGGGTCCCCTACTCACCCTCCTCCTCTTCATTCTCATCATGGTTGCAGCAGTCTTCCAAACCATCTATTAGCTCTTCTTCCAGATCTTCAGCTTCAACCTGGTCTAGCTGGAGGTCAGTAGCTGAACTATAAGAAAGAATCATGCCCCCGGCCCAGCCAACTCCGTAAGAGCGGTCACAGTTGGATTCTCATTCCTTCATCATCTCCCAATGTTTGTCTCTTCCCCAGTCCCCAATCTGCTGGCCCTTGCATGGGCCTTACAACTATTCTTCTTGTCCTCAGAGCTTAGGTCTAGCCATAGTTCCTCAACCCTACATCCCCTATTCTGCAGAGAGGCACTATGTCTTCCATCTTCTTTGATGTCCCTCATGGCATATAAAAACAAAATTCTGAATATAAAACACCATCAATCAATGTGTGGTAATAGACATCAAAGGTCCCTAGACTTCTCTCTGGGAACTCAGGACAAGGCCTTGGTGGACCACGGTTCCAGAGAAGTAACAAGGCACAAGAGAAGAGGCCAAGTATGTGTATGCCCTAACTCTGAAATGGCTGTCATAACAGGACTGACTGAGAACCTGATTTGGTTTGGAATTAAGTAGAGAAATCACAGTTCCCAACACATGATGTTTGGAATTCTTATTTCTCCCTGGTTATAACCTAAAGCAAGGCTTAGCAAACTCTTCCTCTAAAGGACAAGACAGTAAATATTTTCAGTTTTGTGGGCCATTCAGTCTGTCGCAACTACTCAACGCTACGGTTATAACAAAAAAGCAGCCACAGACAGTAGTAAATGAGGGAGTAAGGCTGCATTTCAATAAAACTTTATTTATAAAAGCAGGCAGAGGGTGGGATTTGGCCTGCAAAGTGTAGCTTGCTGACCTCTGCTCTAAAGTGAAAACCAAAATGCTATGGCAGTTAAGAAACAAAACCAACCTCCAGAGACAGACGGTCAGTGTCACCAAACATGTATACATTCTACTGCTTTAAATGAACCAAAAACTTTCTCCGACTTACCCAATATCCCTAGCAGGTGAGTCCAGCTTCCTGGCTTCCTTAGGCTCCTCCCTCCCAAGCTTGCTCAGATGGATGGAAGAGAGGCGGGTGGCCACCTCGGCCACGCCAAGGGGCTGAGGGGGAGAAGGCAGAGCTGGAGTTTTGTCTTCTCCAAGAGGTGGGGAGTCGATCGCAGATCCACAGGCAGGGCTGCAGCTGAGCCCACTGGCGTGTGAGGCAAGGAGGTGAATGCTGATGCGTTTGGTACAGAAGACTGTACTGTCCAGCTCCACGGTGTCCGAGGCTCCAGGGAGGACCCTACTGTCTGCTCCAGCATTCTCCTGAGGGAGCTTCTGGCCTACCACAGCTGGTTTCCACCACCTGTTCGTGTTGAGGACATCCCACTGCAAGCTGGGGTTCATGAAATAAGACTGTTCAAAATGGTAGCCTTGCCTTGGCTTCTCCTCAAAGCCTCTTGCAGTCAACTTCCTCACAGCCTCAGTGAACCCAACCTCCTTAGTCAGATTCTGGGAAACAGAGTCCCCATCCAGGCCACAGGGATGTGGCTCTGCCCCTGTGGCTAAGTTACTCCAGTTGTAGTGGGGAGAGGCAGCACTGGTGGTGGAAGCGTCTAAGGAACTGGGGGTAGACAGGGTGCTGTGGGAAGGGTCATCATCTAGGACAGTGCCACTGCTCTCAGGCACCTTGTGCTCAACAGGCTGGAGTGCACAGTCTCCAGTGCCCCCTGAATGATGCCAGGAGACAAGCTGGACCTTCGGTGAGGACACTGGCTTCAGGCCTTCTGTGGCCTGCAATAAAGGCACTTTAGTGCTATTTGGCCGCATGAAGGAGTTGTTATTTAGCATGGGCTTGTAGGAAGAGGAAGAAGAGGAGAGTGGAGACGGGGTCTTCCCTGAGATGGCAGAGGCCAGGCTCTTCCCTGAAGGATTTTCCCCAGCCGCTCCCAGTGAGAGGTATGGTTCTGTGGATGAGGATGCCATGGGGGAGACCTTGGAAGAAGTGGCCTTATTGGCAGTGAGTCTGATAGGGAGTCTCTTGTGAGGGAGAGAAACAGGTCTTTTTTCTGACGGGCTTGAACGCAAGCAGAAAGACTCCAGCTGCTGGTATGGTCTGTGGCCGTAGTTGGAGCGGCGGTAGAGCAGGGTGCTGCTGAACAGGTCTGGGAGGGAGTGCAGGTAACAGGAGTTGCTGTGGCCTGCGATGACAGCCGTGCTCCCGGAGCTACATAAAGTGCTGGGGCAAAAGAAGTACGCGGGCTGCGTTGGGACCCCAAGAGGCCTGGGCCCAACCCTGCTGAAAGTGTTTCCACGTGCTCCTTCTCCACCTTCCAGATTGGCTTCACCTGCTGATGACCCTGAGCCCAGACTTTGCCCTCAGAGGGTTTCTCAGGTGGCGGGGTAGGCACTGTGCCTGAGGGCCCACTCGGCTTAAAGCTGTTTCCTCGGCGGAGGCCAATAGTGTAGTGCTCTGTTCTTGCTGAGGCCATGAGGAGCCCACATCACGGCCACGTGGCCTCATGGCCCAGCTCAGGTAAGGTGCCTTGTACCTCCAGCAGTAGCAGCTGCATCCTTGAGGTCTGTCAGCCTGAAGGGCAGAGAGACAACTGGGAATGTTACAGTCCTAGAAGGACAGACACAATGCTACACTGGTGCCCAGGCAAGGAAGAGCCCCACGGCAGCACTTCTTGGGCAACCAGTCTTGGTCATCAATTGGGGCCCTGGGAGAAGAACACTAGATCCTTAGGGTGTTTTCAGTGGACTTCCTGCTGCCCTCATGCAACCAAAACTGGCTCCATGAAGGACTGGGACACTAAGGTGCCACCAGTGTAAGTCTGTTCACATGTTCCCACCCTCTCACTCAGAGGGCTCTTTCCTCTCTCTCCAAAGAAAAAATCACCTTTCTGTCTCATCATCCACAGCTTTACACAAGTGGCTTCCTTCCCTCACCTGACACGAGTGTGCCTAGGAATGAGGCAAGTCTGGGTGTGGCAGAGAAACCAGCTAATACCTTCCTCCTCATCAACCAATTCTGAATGGTCAAAGATCATTTGAGAAGCATATTTTACATCTACTGCTCCCTCACCAATTCTCAGCTGCCCCTGATATGGTCTGCTTTTCACAGTTAAATGTGACAAGTTCATGTAAGAGCAGAGATTTCTCCTGCTGACCTCTGGAGTGCGTTCTGGAGCTGAGACAGTAATTTCGTCTCTTCAAGCGCCTTGCCAACTATATAGGCTTAAATTCCAACCAACGTGTTGGTGGGAAAGAGAAGAAACAAGATGGAACTAGACACCAACATGCTTTATATTTAAGGTGACTTTATTTCCAGCAGCCACAATGGGACAGGAAAGGTAAGGGAGTAGAATACAGAGGCGAGAAGAGGAGAAAAACTTTCTTTATTCCAAATCCCAGCCTTCAGTTTGAGCTGATTTGGGGGAAGGAGAGTGTGTCTCTTACATTTCCTCATTGAATCTTTCCTCTAAAGCAAAACCTCTGAACCAGCCTGTAGTTCTGGGTTCCCAACAGTCAGTTTAGTATGGTCTCTTGCTTTCTAAACCAAATTCACAAAATATTCTGCAGTTTTCACACCTGCAGGGAAAGGTGGGTCTGCTTTCATGACAGCATCCAGGGGAAAAATAATATAAGACCCTTTTATTAGAAGTCATTCATCTGGGATAATTCTGAATGAAATCCTGGCATCTTCATCAAGTGTTTTCAGAGTGGCTAGAGGGAAGGAATTAGCAGAGAATTTTTTTGCTCAAGTTTCATTTGAGACACAGTGAATGGGAAGAGGACTTTGTATTTTGATAGGAGAATTCCTGTCTACAGCTACAGGAACTGTTGGTGTTGTGTACCAACAAAAAGCCTGCAGAAGCCACATGACGTCGCCCTCTTTTCCTGAAAAGGCTGACCTATGTGGATTCTTTCTCAAGGAGAGTACCAAAAAATCACTGCCAATATTCAAAATGATAGTGGGCAAAAGACAGCATAAGGGCTAAAACCAGATATGATGCCAGTAACCGCAAATTAAGGTAACAGAAAATGGACCTCCACCAAGTCCAAACTATGGAAATACTGTGCGGGGGACAATTATACTCTGTGCACTTATGGTAGAGAAGCACACACAAAGGGAAGGGTCAAATCCTGCCAGTGATTTTATAAGACCACACACCTGAGTGTGTGTCATGTACACTCAACAGATTCATGTCCCAATTCACGTAGTCATCTTTCAGGAATCTACATCTTTCCCCACTGATGCAGCACAAAAGATTCACCAAAGTGATGGCAAAAGGGCTAAGGAAACAAGATTTCAGGCTGGTGCTCCCTGAATATCACCCAACTTGTGGCTCGTCACGTGCATCCTCCTATCTCAGACCTTCATGTCTCTACAAGTATCGCTCCCTAGAAGCCTTTCCTTCTCTTCCACCAGACAAAAAATAAACAGCTCAAATAACACTTTCACCAGGCAGCCTTTCTGGACTCCCCAGTTCAAATAGGATGCCTCATCTCTGTGCTCGCCACCATCACTGTCTGTATTACACTGAGCTTTAATAATGGACTACTCATCTGACTAAGAGCAAGGAACATCTTTTCCCTCCCTTGATGTCCCCAATATAGGGTCTCACCCACAATAAGTGCTCAGTATTCTGTTGAATAAATAAAGAAAAAAACACAGTAAATAAAGGGGAAATACACTAGAACTGATGAATGCTAGTTTGGGCACCTAATAAATACCAGGTACTATGCTCACTGAATCCTCACAAAAACCCTATGTTCAATTTGCTGATGATGAATCCAAGACTCAGTAAAGCTAAGTAACTTTTCTATAATTAAACAACCAACAAGGAGTGGCTAGATTAAAACCTGAGTTTGACTCCATGCTGCCTCTTAAATAGAAATGAAACACACACCTAGGCCCTGTTCCCTCACTTATCCCTAACCTTCAGGTACAAGACAAAAGGCAGGTTGGAAACACTCCTCCACTGTTTATACTGAGCCCCTTTGCAGGTGAAGTGCCCAAGAGCACACCACTGCATCCTCATCTGCACCGCGGGCAAAAGCCCACTTTCCCTCATAGACACGGGTACCCACTGCACATCTCGGGGCTGGGTGAAGAGAACCCTCCTCTCTGCACACACTGCTCAATGTCTGCCTCTCTGCACCCCTCCACACGAATCCTCGGTGCCAGGAACACTGGACACAAGTGGCCCGGCATCTAGCTGGCTTCACTTTTAATCCAAATGAGGAAGAGGAAGGCGAAGGATATACTCCTACCCTCTTCAGAAGCTGTGGGTGGCCTGCTGGGCTAGTGCCAGAGTAAAGTGGATTCTCTTCTCTGTGACTAACAGGATTCTAGATCTTGTATATGTCTGCAATGGCCATTTCCCACAGGGCATTTATTTTTCCTTGTCTGACTTATCTTACTTAGCATAATACCCTCTAGATCCACCCATGTTTTTTTTTTTTTAATATTTATTTATTTATTTATTTTGGCTGCCCTGGGTGTTAGTTGCGGCATGTGGGCTTCTTAGTTGCGGCATGCATGTGGGATCTAGTTCCCCAACCAGGGATTGAACCCGGGCCCCCTGCATTGGGAGCACGGAGTCTTACCCACTGGACCACCAGGGAAGTCCCCCACCCATGTTTTTGCAAATGGCAAGATATCTCATTTTATGGCCAACTAATATTCCACTGTATATATGTACCACATCTTCTGTGTCCATTCATCTATCACTGGACACTTGGGTTGCTTCCATAACTTGGCTATCATAAATAGTGCTGCAGTGAACACTGGGGTGCTACCAGCATCTCCTTGTTGCTGCTACTTTACTCAGTGTAGGAACTCTGCCACAGCCACACCCAACTGCCTCAACAGTGCCTTTTCCTCCAGAGGTCTGCTCCAAAATCCTCCACAGCTCCTCTCTTTTATCCTCTCTCCCACATCAAACCAATCTGCTCTCACCACTTCAACTATTACCTTTAGGAGACGAGGCACTTTTCAGACCCGACTTCTCTCAAGCTCTGTGTCCTCATCGCCAACTGTCTTCTCCACCTTTTCCACAGGCAAGTCCAACCACTTCAGCCCAGATTGTCAGATCAGCCCTGCACTCTTTTTTTTGACCACGCCTTACGGCTTACAGCATCTCGGTTCCCCAACCAGGAACTGAACCCGGACCCCGGCAGTGAAAGTGCCAAGTCCTAACCACTGGACCTCCAGGGAATTCCCTAGCTCTGCACTCTTGACGTTCCAATTTCTTTCAGTGGAACCTTCTTTCTCTCAGTCACCTAAGAGGAAGACTTAAGTCCCTTCTGATTTCTTCCTTTCTCTTAATCTCCAAAGCCAAACCAGTCACAAAACTTAAGAGATTCTTTCTTCATAGCATGCCTCCTCCTTTCATTTCAACCACCATCCCAGATCTGGACTACTGCAACAGCTTCCAGACTGAAGTTTGTGTCTCCAGCGTCTGCCCTTCCTAATTCCATTCTGCAGGCAACCTCCAGGTTAACTTTGCTTAAATATTACTTATCAGTTACCTTTCCAAAAATTTTCCATGAGTCCTTATTTCATATCACAGTAGCCCACCAACGACCTGCATCAGAATAACCTGGGGTGCAGATTCCTGAGCCCCACTTTCAGAGAGGATTCAGTGGGTCTGAGGTAGGGCCAGGGATCTGTATTTTACACTTTTTTTTTTTTTTTTTTTTTTTTTTGGGTACCCGGGCCTCTCCCTGTTGTGGTCTCTCCCGTTGCGGAGCACAGGCTCCGGACACTCTGGCCCAGGCGCCATGGCTCACAGGCCCAGCCTCTCCGCGGCATGTGGGATCCTCCCGGACCGGAGCACGATCCCCTGCATCGGCAGGCGGACTCTCAACCACTGCGCCACCAGGGAAGCCCAGGGATCTGTATTTTAAACAAGGCTTCTAGATGATTCTCATGAAAGTCAATAAATAAATTCCAGACTTCCCAGCCTGAGTCTGGCTTCAGTCTTTTTTTAAGGTGTATTTCCATCTCCTTCCACCTTTAACTCTGTTATATGACCTGTTCTGGTCTTGTACTAATCCTTTCAAACCTGTCTGCAGGCCCTTACTCCACTCAGCCTCTTCCTTCCGAATCCTTATCATATTTTATTTACCTTTTCCAGGCCCAGCTCAAGCTCCATCCTACCCATGAATATCTGTTGTGTAATTTATTCCTCTAATTGGATACTTTGTAAAGGCTATCTTTTACCACTGTTCTCTTCTCATATGAATATGCCTCATAAGCTCCGTGATGGTTTTTACAGGAAAATCTTGTGTTTCAGTAACAGATAAATGCACAGCTATGCAAGTAGAAGGAGGAAGATCACTGCCCTAGTCTGGCCTCGTCCTCAGCAATGCTATCCAAGCCTCCCCGCAAAACGTCATGAGATATTAAGGCTCCCTAGAACAAAGTTTAAAAATTAATTGACTTGAGGGTGATGAATATTTTCAATGTCAGTTATACCTC